CCATCACTGCTCTAGTGTGTCCTGTTTGTGGTGCAAACAGAAAACTGAGTATTTGGGGATTATGGGAGCCTGATAAGTCTGTGCCTACAGGGCAGCTGAGATAAAACGTTATTGTGATGTTTTAGTCCTAATAGTATACATTTACCAAGCATCCCATGACTAAGAGAGAGAAAAAAACATGCTTACCAACTCATCCTACCAACATGGAACACCCACTGCAGAGTGCTACTGAAAATAAAGACATAACCAAAGCATTTAAAGTGATAGACGTAAAACACAAGATGTGTGTCTTGTCTACAACAATAATATGTTTTTGTGCAACAAATTAAAAATAAAGGAAAAAGTTCAGACTAGTAAAATGTACACATTATAAATAAGGTCATAAACGTATAATGAAGTCAACTTTGTTTATTTTTCCTTAAAATGTTTGTATCACAATACATTCACTTAATTCCCTGGACTAATTCTTTCCTTTTTTTTTTTTTATTTATTTATTTATTTATTTTTAATTCTGTTTCAGGTGCTACCCATTCGTTCCATGAAGGAGAACATTACGCCGGATGCAGAGAAAGCGGAAATAATTAAAGCCTTCTAGATATCCTGTTTTTGTTTATTATCTTCTATTGGAGAAAATACAAGTCGCAAAATGAAAAAAACATGGAGATATCATCGGTTATAGTGGGGGTAGATATCGCATGTAAGGAACAGTTGGGGCTACATTGTATAGTCCCTCTTCGATTTCCAAGAGTCTTTCTTGGGTAGTTTTGGCAGAGTATTTCCCCAGTTTCCTTATAACTTAGAATTGTTGTTAGAATTTGGTAGTAGCAACTGGAGAGTGTATTGCTCAACCCCTTGACATTCCAAATCTTAAATCTTATGTAGATAGAGATTAACATCTATAATTTATAACAAAGTGCTACTAGGACATTTATGATTTATCTTCTTGTTTCCCAAATCATAGATCATTTATCCAGTCCCTGGATGGTTATCGAATGTAAATATTTAATCCTTTGTCAAAAAGTATCCAAAGGGATTTTCGGAAATGTGACTCATATTCATTAGCACATCTTTTCATTAAAAAAATGATTTATTGTAACATATATTACATTAAAAAGGACCGCACAAATCTATCCATTGCTTGTCTTCAAAAATATTGCAAAACAGAGTTTTTATGTTCTCGGAAGGAACGTTTTTCAATCAATATTTAAGTGGCTGTTTGAAAAAGTAACCAGATTTACCCTTTAAAAGATATAGTGTGTGTGTGTATGAATAGTCACCACTTAAAAATGCTTCCTAGAACAAAGATATTTGAGTAAGGCAATGATGGCTAACTTTGAGACTGTAGACGCTTAAGGTATTACCCACGTAGCTCATCAGATCTAGTTGAAAATGTTAAGAGCAATTAATGTAGGACATGCAAATCCTGTATACGCTACACAAGGGATGCCCAAAAGGTAGATCCGCAGCTGTTGGAGAACTACAACTCCCACAATGCTTTTAGAATGACAAATCATCTGGGCACTTATTTTATACACTTATTAGTATTAAACAGCACCCTCCATCAATTAAAGCAAACTTGTTCTGTAAAACAAATGTATTCAATGTGAAATGTCTCTTTATTCTGTTGGTATTTTTAAAGAGTTTTGCAACTTTAGTATCTATTTAAAGGAACACTATAGGGTCAGGAATACGGGTTTGCGTTCCTGACCCTATAGTGTTCCTTTAAAGAGATACTAAAATTGCAAAACTCTTTAAAACCACCATCTGGCCCCCAGTTGCCCCCCTGTAAATTTTAGCAGATCTGAGAGTGGCAACTGGAGGTGTCCCAGGCTGTAATGTAAACACTGCATTTTCTCTGAAAAGACAGTGTTTACAGCAAAAAGCCTGAAGGTAATGATTCTACTCACTAGAACAAATTCAATAAGCTGGAGTTGTTCTGCTGACTATAGTGTCCCTTTAAATTCTTTAATTTTTGTAAAAAAAAATTTAAAATCTAATTGTCTATCAATCTGTTTAGCACAATGCTCAGATTACAATCTATTTTTATTTTATTTTTTAAAGTGTCTTTTACTTCCTGTTTGTTTTAATACATTATATAGATAGTGCATTACATGATGCATATCGAAAAATGAAAAAATATTTACCAAGAAAATTGTCTATTGCAGCAAGGCCTCTGAGCCTACTATAGCAAGGTCTATTCGACCAGGAAGTGGATGAGGAGATTTCATCCAATCTGTAGTCTCATTCTGTAACAGCACCCCCAGGCATATAAGGGTTAAACCGCCGTTTAGAAGATTTTCCCCTTCCAGAGACACAGGCACAGCTACTGCAGAACAGCAAACTCCCGAACCGCATATAAGGGAATGCTCCAAACTCCCGAACTGCATACAAAATAGCACTCCCAACTCCCGAACTGGAATCTCACGTATAGCTGCTAGCAGACGAATAGGAAAAGCACCCAAGCGGCTTACACTCCTAGAAATCAGTCTCTATCAGCATACAGTAAATACCCCCCAAGAACGAGACAGAGCTCCGTGTTGACGGTCAAGCAGTGGTCTGGTTTAATGAGGGATACCTGCCCAGTATTTATGCAGGTCTCCCACTTGGTGGACACTCCCCTAGGGGACCAAATGGGAGACTGTGACAAAGGCATTGTAGCAACCAATCACAGGGTACACACTTAGCCATTCCCATTTTCTTACCCAGAACCCTCTACTCTGCTCAGGGAGATTATTGTGAAGTAATTCAATTATCTCCCAGGACAGAGCCCAAACGCCATTTTAGGTGACAATAACAAAAAGACATAAAAATACATAACTGTTATATTTTACAGGCATTCAACAGGTCCCCAGATAGCTACGATCTGAGCGCACCAAAGTACTGAATAGCGCTCAGATCCTATGCACACAGTCCAATCGCCGTGGAGCCAAAGTGTTCACAAAGTCAGTTTTCATATGAATGAGCTCCACGGGATTCCTATCTGGGGTATGGTGTATTCGGGTACAACTACCGAATATAGGACCGTTCGTACACGTCTACCGAACAAGAAGGGAGGTTGGCGGCTTCAGCGGTGTTCGCGCCCAAAATGTATCCATTTTCAGTTCCATGAGTTGGGCGTCGAACACCGCTGTGCATTTGCGTGTTTAAAATGGCCGCAACCTCGTGTTCGGTATACGAATGGCGGCCACCCAGCATTCGTCAAGCTGCGGGTAACTGCAGCTTCTGGGAGGTTAATTGTCGACACACTCCAGCTCCCAGGTGGTCCAGTCATTTGTGCGTTAGTTCGGTAGATTGAATCTACCGACCGCCGGGCAGAAAGGCACGAATAAGCCTTTTCTGCAGGGGAAAAGAAGGCTTTTAACATGGGGCCATAGTCCAAAGGTAACAGGCGAGCAACCAGGCTTCTCCAATGCAATGGGGCGAGATTGATCTCGTCACATCTCTCCCCTTTTCCAAACAGACTAACAGGGTATCTGACCTCCTGCCGGTCAGTCCCCCTGTTAGTCCAGCAGCCCACCCACAAAAACACAATCAGTACTACAGGCCACCCACAATAACTGGTTACTACACCTGGGTAGAGGAGAACTTTGTCCATGTCCAGGTGCCTCACCATGGCTGTGTGGGTGACTGGTAAGCTGCATTGGTGGGTTGCTGAGTGGGCAGAGACCAGCGGTACAATGCCCTGGTGCCAGCGCTACCATGGGAGTAGCCTGGTTGTTGGAGGGGGAGACTGACTGTCTCCCCTTTAGATACACAGCTCCACTGCTGAAGGGGGAGACCGACTGTCTCCCCTTTGGCAAAACAGCCCTGTCGCTGGGTGGCAGGACCGACCGTCCCTACCCCCTGTGCTGTAAGTGCAGAGACCACGGTCCCATCTGCATGGTTGTGGGGCTTGCTATCTCCCCCTGGTACGTTAAGCTGCTGCTGGGGAGAGGGGGTAACAAGCTTCTCTCCCATATATACTTCCAGCCGCGGGGGAGGGAGACCGACTGTCTCTGCTCCCAATACAGAGTCCTGCTGCTGGGGAAAGGAGACTGGGCTCTCTATTCCCTGTAGGACACTCTGCCGCTGTGGAATGGAGACTGGGCTCCCAATTCCCTGCTGTATCTCCCGCTGGGGAATGGAGACTGGGCTCCCAATTCCCAATAACTCATACTGCCGCTGGGGAATGGAGACTGGGCTCCCAATTCCCTGTAATTCACTCTGCTGCTGCGGGACAGGAGCAACTATCTCTGTCCCCTGTAACGCAGCCTGCCGCTGGGGAATGGAGCTTGGGCTCCCAATTCCCTGCAATTCACTCTGCTGCTGGGGGACAGGAGCAACCATCTCTGTCCCCTGTAACTCAGCCTGCTGCTGGGGAATGGAGCCTGGGCTCCCAATTCCCTGCTGTATCTCCCGCTGGGGAATGGAGACTGGGCTCCCAATTCTCTGCAGGACCGGTGGAGAGACCTCTGTGTCATCTCCACCAGCCACCTGGGGTTCTTCCCAGTAACACTCTGCAATATCTGCCCAGCTGAATGGGTCTGGATCTGGGTCTCCGCTTCCCTGCTGAGCCTTTTCACTGATGTGGAACAGATCATGGTAGCCCTGCTCCAGCTCCAGCTTCATCTCTCGGGTCACTAGGTGGACCAGGTCTTGCTCAATCTCATGAGTGTCGTCCCAGTCATACCTGCTCTCCCTCCACTCCAAGAGATCACGGAACCAGGCTTGTGTAGGGCTCCCAAACTCAGGCTCTGAAAAAGTCTCCCATAACAAGCCAGGACCATCAAACTCCTCTCCCTCTGGCTTGTCATGCTCGGCTGTCCAGGGCAGGTACTGTGCCCCATACCACCAGAGCGCCTGGTAGGCATCTTCCAGCCACATCTCCTGCCATACCCGGAGCTCCAATTCCTTCACCCATTCTGTAACCGCAGGTGGTTCCCTTATTTACCACTATAATGTCTTAAAGCATAGAACTTAGTAGGGCTAACCATACAGATATCTTAGCCATAATTTTATATAGTTAGTAAGAGATCCTCTATTTAACATAAAAAAATAATTGAGAATACAATATAAAATAAGGATTGTCTTGGAAGCAATAACGTTTTGTCTTTTTGATATTTATTTTATAAAAATATAAATATAGACATATAAAATCCATTATAGCAGAATTTCTAAGATTAAACTAAATGCTTGCAAGTATCATTAATAGGTTAACATACCTTTCTGAACATGTCATCATGTCAGCCTCTCTGTCATTTTAAGATGGAGCAGCGTCTGTCTCCAAGTCTCTCCTCTGTCTTAACATTTTTATTTTTTTTCATTTTGACAGTTTTCATTGAGTCAGCAAAAAGGCAGTTGGGTACAAAAAAGAGAAAAGGGAGGGTCGGATACTATGACCCATAGGGTGCTTTGCATTTTCAATAAATACACACATGACAATTATTATTCGGTAGTACATGAATACTTTCAATCCTGTGTTACACGAGAAATTTATGGAGTGTCTATCCTTTTGGGCTTTGCGGCTGGGTACAAGGTGGCCTGTCTGAAAGAGTGCTTCTATGCAGGGTTTGGTCTCAGGCTTTGTGTTCCTTGTCTTGCTGCTCTGTTCCCTTCAAGTGTCTGCGCAAGACATGACTATCTTCAGGTCTGGTGGACTTTTGGTTATGGTAGCTTAGCTAAGACAGACTTTTTATATATATATATATATATATATATATATATATATATATATATATGCATGTGCTTGCATAGCGGTAGCGGTGCTTTTGTGTCTCCCTTCTAGAGGTGGTGTTCAGGTGTATCTGTTTCCTCCCCATCCCTTCCCCAAATCTGCCTGACCACTTGGCTCCTTTTTCTTTTTAAGATGGGGGGCGGGGGGGGAGGGGGTTTAAAAGGAAGAGTCTGTCTTAACATTTAAAAGTACACCTATTTATACCTTAGGTGTCGTCATTTTAGGGTTACCGTAGTTCATATATGAAAAAGTAACACTTCTTTTACTTTATTCATTTTAGGACCTCCCTTAACTTGGCCAAAATACAAGGCCATAACTAAAGGGTGCATATGTCATGGAAATGTTCCTGACTTAGTTCAAGATGGCATCTTAAAGTCTGAATAGCTTATCTGTTGTTTATACTAAGACGTAAGTGCACAGTCGTGGGAGATTCCCGGATTTGGGGAAGTTAGTCGTAGTATAGCCTTGAAACTTGTTTATGCATTATTGTTATTGTAATTCGTCTGGGACAAAATGGCACAAACATATTATGCACTGAGGTTATTACTTAAAGAAACATCTATGAAAAACAATATGTTCAATTTCTAACACCATATCAATTTGCAATATCTCTTAAAGACAAAGTACACAGTTTAAGAAATACAACATTTCATTCTAAAACTTGTAGTATTTGCATTTGCCCATAACAATTCCTTCAGGGGCTGCTCTCCCAGGAAGGGCATCCGCAGGGCTAGTCGCTTCTGCAATCGCTGGTCTTCCTTGGGGAGTCTCTCGCCCCGCTGGTACTCCACAATACCCAGTGCCTGGTACCAGATGCCTTTTGCGGACTGCATCTCGGTCATCCATGACACCCTCATCGTACTCCACTGCTGGTTCCATCCTGGTGCTGTCAGGGTCGCTGTACTCAGACATGTGTTGCCCTCAATTTGTAAAATCCAAAGAAATGGTGTCTCCTGTAGCTGTCCTTCTGGCTGCAGGAACGATCTCGCCGCTTGCCACCAATTGTAACGGCACCCCCAGGCATAAAAGGGTTAAACCGCCATTTAGAAGATCTTCCCCTTCCAGAGATACAGGCACAGCTACTGCAGAACACCAAACTCCCGAACCGCATATAAGGGAATACTCCAAACTCCCGAACTGGAACCTCACGAATAGCTGCTAGCAGACGAATAGGAAAAGCACCCAAGTGGCTTACACTCCTAGCAATCAGTCTCTATCAGCATACAGTAAATTCCCCTAAGAACGAGACAGAGCTCCGTGTTGAGGGTCAAGCAGTGGTCTGGTTTAATGAGGGCTACCTGCCCAGTATTTATGCAGGTCTCCCACTTGATGGACACTCCCCTAGGGGACCAAATGGGAGACTGTGACAAAGGCATTGTAGCAACCAATCACAGGGTACACACTTAGCCATTCCCCTTTTCTTACCCAGAACCCTCTGCTCTGCTCAGGGAGATAATTGTGAAGTAATTTAATTATCTCCCAGGACAGAGCCCAAATGCCATTTTAAGTGACTACAACAAAAAGAAAATGGAAAAATGATGTGCATCCAAATGCTTCTCATAGCTGCAACTTAACATGACAAAGTTTTACTCGGAGATTGTAGAGGAAGTGCCTCTAGTTGCTGTCAGAGAGCCACGAGAGGTGTATTTTATGGGTTTTAAAGGACAGAGCCACTGCACAGTGACCCCTTCATTGAGACTTTAGTGTCCTTTAATTATAGATTGTATTCCCTACTAATTTTTTACCTCTACATCAAACCAGTTTTCACCAATCTCCCCAGACGCTTTACCTTTTAGCGTTAGTGGTGTGTCTGGAATGTACTTTTCAGTGACAAATTGACTATTCGTCAGGTCCTCCTCTAATCTTCGACATAAACTGTGTTCTCATTTTAGAACATAAAATATTATCCCAACAGATATAAAGAATGATCCCGTATACTTATCATAACAGAATAAATATTTACATGGAACACTTACTTTCCAGGAATTTTAATATTGGATTGACTTGTTTTTTTTTTTTTTTTAACAAATATTTGCTTGGAAGGTCTACAAAATGAGTTTTAAATGTAGATAATCCACTTCTGTATCCTGGAACTGAGCACCTCCATCTTAACACCGCATCAGTTCTTGTTATAAGCTCTGCCCCTGGCGTCTATCCGTCAGCACAGAGAGAACATAAAGAAGCGAAATTAAACAATATTTCTATTTTAATTCCTTTTTTTTTTAACTTATGGTATAATTTATATCAAAGAGCACAAATAAAAATAATCAGACATTATATGTACATGAAATTAAAATCCAATTGCAATGTAACATTCATCAAAGAAGCCATACATCTAGAATTATCAAAGCAGCTTACGTATGATACCATTACAAATGAGTCTCCCACGTAATCAAGAATAAAACATGCTTACAGCATGGAGAGATCATTTAAGATGTGCAGGCATATAGGCATAAGTGAACTAGTGTTGATTGGACCTTGCAAAGATAAACAGAAAAAGTCAATAGCTAACTATAAACCTGGTCAGGAAATGCTAAAGATATGGTTCAGCCTTGCTACACGAACAAATACAATATCCCCAGGAGCTAATACTTACCTCGTCAAAGCATGACCACCACCAGAAGGTGGATAAATGGTGTAGAGCCAGTCACCATATAGATACTGGGCTCAAAACCTCTTCAGAGCAGGATGAAGTCACCATCCTGCCTCCAAGCATGCTTGCAGACAAATGCACGATGCTTCAAAGTCCAGATGTTATGGACATCAAGGTTTCTTCTTGCTGCAGAACTTAAAGGGTTCCATGGAGAGTTGCATTGCTGGGTGCATGCCCACACAGTTAAGCATCATAGACTTTACCTATGGACCCTCATGGAATAGGAGCAGTCAATCAGTATAAGGGGTAATGCCCCTGGCTACCTGATGCCTATCAAACATCTGCAGATCTGACCTGGATCCTACCAAATGTCAACCACACAGGCATCCAAACAGGACCTAGGGCAGGCGTAGGCAACCTTCGGCACTGCAGATGTTTTGAACTACACCTCTCATGATCCTTTGTGAGCATTATGAGTGTAAGAGAATTATGGGGAACGTAGTTTACAGCATCTGGAGTGCTGAAGGTTGCCTATCCCTGACCTAGGGTCTCTTGTCAAACTCTTCTTTGGTTAACCAATCATCTTTGGAGTAACATGCTGTGATGGAATTGGCGCATGGGTGGTGGGTCTTCGTCTTATCTCCAACTTCAACCAGAATGTCTCACACAGGCGTTCAAATGCTCAAAGAGTGTCCTTTAAGGCTGCAAGTGTTACTCAAATTGCATTGTCCCATCCTGAGAAGAACTGGCAACCATTAGGGGATTGTATAATTGGTGGCAGACCAATAATAGTGAACCAAACAAACTGCAGAGTGATTGTAGACCATGATAACCCCCACCTTTATAACTTGGAGGGGAAACGAGGCTTGTGAGAATGCAGTAGCTGCTAAAGAATGGGGTATGGCTGGGTGTCCCACTTCGAGGCCTCAGCTGTGAGATTCAATGGAAAGTCCTGACATAAAAATCCTGAGTAGTGAAAGCTCACTATAATGATAAAATTGAATTCAATAAATGTTGTTTTTTTTCTTCTTTTTGCTTTTCTGCTACTATATAAAAAGAAACCGGAACTGAATGGTGCAACACCCTCCCGCCCGCCCCCCCCCAGAATAAAATCACAATAAAAAAAAATCAGCCCATTTAAAAAAAAATTTACTTCTCCGTCCTAAATTAATACCATGACTGTTTCTGTTTTAAACACAAATATATGGGATTCTGGTATTAATATTGTTAAATGTCTCAATAGTTATTCCTATATAATATCTATTTTTTTTCCACTAGTTAATACAATTAGCACTGTGATGTATTATCTAGTGATCTATAAATATATACTGATTTTTGTATACATCTATTGCTTTATTGCTATGTAGAATTAACAAATCTTACTGTTTACTAGTTTGAATAAATGAAAGTGAACTGTACATGTAAATATAAAAATCATTAATACCAAGGAATGAATCTGTAACCATTGACGTCAAGCCTTTGTCTTTTGTGGTCATTTTTAATTAATTTTATATTGTATAGTACAAGGGAAAAATGCTAGGTTGACAGATTTTGTCACCAGCTGCACTAGGCTGGCTGATGAATATTTGAAATCCAAGGCATTTTCCAGAGTGTGTAGGTGGAGATGAAACAGCTTAAATTAGTCTTTTGAAGAATACATTGCATGCTTTAACACTAGCTCTCCCCATAACATCTTATACAGCAATTAGGGGTCTATTTACTGTCAAGATGCACCACCTTTGCAACCAACCTGTGTATTGATGAAATAATTGTCTTTGGGGGAATACCCCCTAGTCAGCTAATTCCTAAGGGTTGTGACAAAGTTGTAAAACTACCACAACAAGAGGACATAGTCTTAAATTAGAGGGACAAAGGTTTAAAAATAATATCAGGAAGTATTACTTTACGGAGAGGGTAGTGGATGCATGGAATAGCCTTCCAGCTAAAGTGGAAGAGGCTAACACAGTGAAGGAGTTTAATTATGCGTGGGATAGGCATAAGGCTATCCTAACTATAAGATAAGGCCAGGGACTAATGAAAGTATTTAGAAAATTGGGCAGACTAGATGTGCCGAATGGTTCTTATCTGCCGTCACATTCTATGTTTCTATGTAATCCCTGATGCAATTAAAGTGTGTAAGGGTATTGTACAGAGGGGTTGTTTATAACTTTTTGAGCTATACAAGAGCCTATATGGCTCAAAACGTACAGGGTCGCATTCTAGCAGCAAGGTAAGGGGAGGAGGGTTCAGTCTTATGTGAAATTTCATATATATATATATACAGCAGATGTCATGTATACAGGGAATCTGTTTAATAATTATATGAAACTGATGTTTTACTTACATGTCATTGACCAGGTTTAAAAAAACAAACAAACAAAAAAACAGTTTACATAAAATATTTGCTAGCAAAGGGGCTATAAATGTATGAACCATTTCGCCAGATATAGTGGTTAAGATGCAATTAATTCCTTGGTGCAATCCTACTGTTAAACGTCAAGGCTTTTTCTAACAATTAAACATTTACCCCCAATCCTCTGGGTGCCTGCAGTCCGGTCCCTCTGCACAGATATTGCTAAAGCTCCAGTCCGCTTCCTTATTGGTGATATCAGCTCTTGCCTTGTCTGGAAGGAATAAATTGGCCATGAATGTTAACCAATGTTCTTCAGCCAAATAATATCATCCACAGTTGGATAACATTTTATGTTGCTGCCACAGAAGGGCAACTTCCGCCTTATTTATAATTATTTGTGAAGACGGGCCAGACTGTATGGCTGAGGGGGGGGGGGGTCCCAAGCAAAGCGTGAAACCTTTCAGAAAGGGTTTGACGCTTAACCATGGGAGGGCAGCCGGGGCAAACTCAATATTACTAAACATAAATAAATACAAACGAGTTCCCAAAACACTGAATTGTAGTTAAATACGAACATGTCGGTTAAATTAGTGAAGATGTGACTACTGTATACCTGATATAACAGGGCTTGTAGGCTGCTATTGCAGCTTGCAAAGAATTCACACAGTGCACTCAGTGTATACACTGCACTTTGTGTGCTCGGAACCCTCTCTCTTCTTAATCCCTTTCTGCTGGAATACAACCATGTAGTTTAAACTGCAAAGGTTGCTGTAGAGTGGGAATAACAGGAGTTACTAATTGTCAGTTCCGGTGAATTAATACCGGAGCATTGTATTGCAGTTATCTTCTGTATACAGATTATTTTAAAGGAAGGAGTTAAACATACAATTCAAATACCTCTTCAGCTGTTACTACAGACAAAGATTTGGCTTTAATCCAGAGATGAAATACAAAACCACAAATATAAACTATAAAAATAATCTCTCCTCAGGAGATCATTTATTTACTTTGTCTTATACCTGTACGTAATATTTTATAACAGGAATTTCAGAGACAGACTGTCAGGGTTATTGTTTGTTATGTAAATTGTATCCGCATCCTTATGTTATACGCTATAACTACACAGTAACATTTTTCTAAGAAACGGTGAAGTTTTCATAAACGTTTTTTTCTCGGGTGCATTCCTGGCAAATTATGGCAGCACTTATTAACCTAATTGACAATTGTAAAGAATCGACCTGGAAATGGGAAAATTCTATGTTTAATTTTTATTATTTAATTTTTGTATTTTTAAAAGTTTAGTTAAAAGTTACTTGGCAGCTTGCAAAACTTTATAATCAAGCTATTCGGGGGAAAAAGAAATATAATGCCAAGAAAAAAAAAACAACCAAAGTGACGTTGCATTGGTTTCCATAGTGATTTCTCCGTATTTAGTACTTATAAGATATAAATATAACCCACATAGCCTTTTGCTTAAGTTTTGCTAATTATTCAATATTTTTAGATAAACCTTTTAAAAAAAATTCGAAAACTTTTCGATATAAAAAAATACATCTATTAATATATTAAAAAATATTAACATTAAATCATTTTTCATATTAAATCATATTTTAAGTCTATGCACAAATATTAGATCATTTGAAAAACCATATCAAAAATAGAGGCCGTAGTTTTTTACCCACTCATTGCTTTAAGAAGAACGATGGCGTAGGACAGAAAGATATCAATACAATTCCTGTTTTCTTGCTGCAGTACTTTCATTACATATTTGTTCACTTTTTTACTGTATACAGCTGATCCTGGGAACTTGTTCTGTGAGAATTCACCCGGATAAATGAAAGGAAGGTTCTGGTTAAAACGATACCTTATTATAGAGATGGTGTTATTATAGGGATGGTATTTCCAATACCTGACACAATGGTGATAAGATTATACACTGGAATATTTCATGCTGGACAAATAGGACTGTACAAATTATTACAGAGGAACCTCGGAACTGAAACTTAATCTGTTCCAGAAGGCTGTTCAAGTTCCCATTTGTTCGAGGACCAAATCAACGTTTCCCATAAGAATTAATGTAAATGTGATTAATCTGCTCCAGACCCCCCAAATCACAGCATATTAACACAAAGTTTAGAGTTTAATAATGACTAATATGCATAAAATCATGTAGAAAAAAATAATAAACACAATGTACAGTAAATGAAAATAAAATGTAACTTCACTTTACCTGTAATCATGAGAGTTGATGGTGTAAGTAGAAAGGAGAAGAGATATTACTGTTTGGATGGGGAGAGGTAACTTTTCTTCTGGCATATTAAATGTGTCTAAAGTAAGACCTAGCTTTATTTATAATTGAATATGTTTGTGGCATGATTTGTTCGGGTACTGAGGATCGTTCGTGTACCAAGACATTTTTTTTCTCAATAGTTTTGTTCAACTACCGAATTGTCGGGTAAGGGAGCGTTCGAGTTCTGAGGTTCCACTGTACTTCTATTTTATAATAATCTGAGAATCATGATTCACAATATTTTGTGAAAATAAAATAAATTGGTTCATGTAATACTATCCTGCCATTGGTTGAAAATACTTTGATTTTCCATGTTAATACAGAATCCAATCATGTGTCATGGCTAAATTTAATGTGGACCTGCTATTAAAAAAAAAGAAATCAGACTATAAATGGTCTCTATGGTGTTACTACGCTAGTTTTTACAACAAATTTATCTTTTTTTTTATTACCTGTATTACTATTGTGTATTTATCTTTAAGTACGCTACTTCAAGGCTAATTGTAGGAGTGATGTGTTATTCCACATAAGTAAAGAGAAGGTTATGCATCTGCAGAATAAAAATAAGTGTGTGATTTGTGTATTAACGGGGACTGTGCCAGACAGCCCTTTGCTTGAGAAAGTTCTATGAGTATTTGTTGCCTTTGTAATCTGTCTCTTACAGATAAAACCACAAACAAATAAACTTCTGGTCAATACAAAGAACAACCTTCGACTAGTCTATTAATAGTGCTTCAAAGGCTGTTTCTTGAGAATTGAGGAAAATAAAGTTATTTTTAGGTTTAGAAGAGATGCCTTAGAAGAGAAGCAGTAGATCTATACAGAGTTATTTACTAAACTCAAAATTTTAACACACTAAATCCAAATAGCCACATTAAGGCTAAAATAGCTGATTTGGAAAAAATTCACAACTTTATTATCGTTTGCAAAAAAAGAAGGGATCCGCACTTTCTCACCTGAAGACCTCGGTGTCGTACCAAGGATGCATAATTCATTGTTGCACCATAGAATATTGCCATTTAATGTAATTTGTTTAGTGCATATATGAATTGGCCACTTGGTTGCAAGGTCAGATGACAAAAAGGGTAAAGTAAATTGAATAGGAATGTGAAAAGGGATGGTTTACCATATTGATTGATCCTCTGATTAATCAAAAGCTCTGCAGGGTGTGAGATTCTACACATGAGATGCCTGGATGTCTAGTCCCACTGTAAACTAGCTGGCTTCAGCCATATGGCCTTTACCTTATAATTGATGAGTTGATTTCTTTGATATGTTAATGATCATTAGCTTTCAAGAAAGAAAAGAAAAAAAACAAGCCTTGTGTTCCAGTATCATATCCAAAATAAACATTAATATTTACCCACAGAATAATAATTAAGCCTAATTTCTGCTATATTTGGAATGTGACCAGCACAATCTTGTAATCGAGCCCATACATGATTTGCGTAACTTAACCATAGGGGAAGGGATTGTGATGTCCGCTATATTGGGTCACAAGTAAGTAGTGTAACATATCTATGGATTGGAAAAATGGTAACAAATTCATAGATGCAATTATTATTTCTGTGGCAAGTACATAAGAGGAGATAGAACCGAATGTTTCCATTTGGATTGATGTTGGTCTGGAACACAAGGGGGTGGTCACTTATAGTTACTATTGGTACGCCTTATCTCCACCTCTGGGTGAGGTTTGGTAATCCACAGAATATATCTCCAATGATACTGAAATGTTTTTTTGGACTTGCTTGGGGCCAGAATCTAATTCTAAGTGAGTCACCATCTTTCTTACAAGAGACCCTCTGGGCAGAAGTTTTACTTTGAAATCCTGAGTACGTTATTAGGACTTCTGGTATTTTATCCCTTTTGGTTTTATCCATTGTTGGTGTAACTAATTTAATTGTCATCTATATTTTTGTATGCACTGTGACTATTTTTGCTCATAATAAATATTCCTTTATTAAGTTCCGCTTTTGTCTGGTAAAGAATCACGTTACCTAAAGAGACTAATTAATGAGTGTTTTACAATTGCATAGGTATTGTATTGCTGAGTTGTATTTGGTGAGTTTTTATTAAGTTTACCTGGAGGACCAAAGCACCCTATTTATGAATTGCCTTGGTGGCAGTGTTAATATAGTAATATTTATATAATTTATCCCTGAGTGTAGGTGGTGTTAATGGGGATTTTATCATTATATCCGGTCCAGGGCAGACAAATAGTGAACTTTAAACCTTTTACCACCACAACTACGTCACGCACACTCTTGAAGTAGGGTGCGTTCATGACACTTGGGGCACTAACCTAGGGCTGGCAAAACCCTAATCCATATAGTAACAGCAAAGTAGCCCAGGCACTCAAGGTCTTCAAACATCAGCAGATTTATTGGAAAAACATGACAGATACAGCAACGTTTCCATCCCTTTCGGCAACTTTATTATAGTGCCATTTTGCCTATTTTAGCCTCGGTTTTGCCATCAGGACTGAATTGGCCATGGGGCACACTGGGAAAATGCCCGGTGGGCCGCGATAATCATGGGCTGAGGTCTGCAGGGGAGGTCACAGGATCTCCCCTGCCGGTCCATGCAGGGCCTGCACTATCCGAGCGCTGGCCCTGCTGTATTCCATGACGGGCCGGTGTGGAGATCAAAGATGTCCCTCACCAGCCCACAGGCAGTGAAATGCGGCTGCCCGAGGGAGACAGGAAAGGACCCGAGGAGCTCTATCTGGCAGCAGTTCACTCACCACTAGTACCAATGCCCGCGGACCCACGCGGCGCTGGAAATAAGGTGAGTTTAAAACGTTTATAAGGGGGGCAAGCCACCTAAATGGTGGGTTTAGCACTATAGGGTCATGAATACATGTTTGTGTTCCAGACCCTATAGTGATCCTTTAACCCCTTAAAGGGAAGCTCCAGTGCCAGGAGAACAATCCGTTTTCCTGGCACTGCAGGTTCCCTCCCACCCCCCAATCCCCGGTTGCTGAAGGGGTGAAAACCCCTTCAGTAACTTACCTGAGGCAGCGGCGATGTCCCACGTCGCTGCTTCTCCCTCCGCGCCGCTCCTCCCTCCGCGCCGCTCCTCCTTCTGACTGCGTCATGTGACATGTCATGATTCCCTTTTATTCCAGAAGTCTGGTCCTTAAGGGGTTAAAGAGAAACTCTCACTTTTCATGATTTCTAATATTATGTTTATATATGCCTACATTTACCAAATATGTATTTGTGAGGTGTAAAAATTTAAATTAAATGTAGAAATCTAAAGGTCTTTATCCTGCAACTGGTTGGCTCCAACTTGGCTTCATTCAGGAGTTGTTATAAGGTCTGGTTTTTTTTTTTAATTAAGAACCTGGCAATCTGTTTAGAGAAGGCATACAGAGAAGAGGAGAATTGAAACAATATATCTATTTCTTATCTTCATTTGCCATAGCTTTGCCTTGTCTGAACTGGATTAAAATAACTTCAATGGAAATTTAGAAGAAAACCGAGCATCGCACGAAAAAACAAACAAACAAAAAAACGGTTAATAATTTATAGGTGTTTTTTAAATTTCTGCTAAATGGTGTAAGTTCCAGATAAGTGACAGTTTCCCCTTTAAGAATCTTGTCATATTAGTCCTCCATTTTTTTGTGTTCTACCAAGAGTTAATATGAGAAGAACAGCACCTCTCTCTGGACAGTGTCTGAATTCCGTAAGACATCTCACATCAGTAAATAGAGCAGAATCTGGAAATGTCTACCGTCTGCTAGAAATGTCACGCGGAGGAACACTGATTTGCAGTCCCCTGCATTTTCATCAAGTCATTCAAATACATTAGCATATGTTTCTGTCCGATATCATGAGGAGCCGAAGTCAGGGGATTAGAAATTAATCTGAATTGCACGTCCCCCTGTCTTCCTCGTGGCAGGCATGGCAAATCAAAGAAGACCTCCCAAGGACTGGTGGAATCAAAGAGCCACTCGTTAGTTTGATCGACATTTCACTGTATAGAAAAATTGCCCTGAGCGAGAGGTACCTCCCTATGAATAATGTAGTAGGAAAACACTTGATAGCATTCAGGTTTATTTAACCAGTGATTGCTTTTCAGAATATTGACAGAAAGTAAATACATACAATCGCATGTTTCAACTGGAAATATTAAGAACAATTTGGGCTATAAAAGGTCAAATATGTAATTCCAGGAATTGGCATGTTCTCTTTGTAGCACAGAGTCATCTGGGGAAAAACAGTACTTTCAAGATTAAGTAAAATTACTAAACAGAACCGCTACCCAAGAAGTAGACTCTGTAGCTAGTTCATAATTCTCAGGGAATTAAAGGTAAATTGTGTTCCAGCTTTGTGAAGTTTTACCACGTGATTGGCAGCAAGCATCAAACTAGACAGAGGCCTGGTGGAAAGTCAACTTGTTTCACATTAGGTGTGAGGTCAATCCTGGTGAGTCTGGGATAGATTGTGATGTTTACTTGCCGGATTCACTTGTGGCTTTGGCCCCTTTTCTCTTGTGATTTCCTGGTTGTTATTTTTTTCCCCACTGACTTTTATGGGGTCTGCAAATGGGGGGAAGAAGACCACTTGTCCCAACTTCCAATTTCTAATTGCAACAAGAATTTTAATGTGCACTAGGAAGAGAGAAGACCTCTACAGCATGCTTGTATATTGAGTGACTTAATAAAGCAGAACACAACATTTCAATAGAGTTCTCTGCTTCATTTATTACATAATGAAGTTCTATGACTTATGACTAATACAAGATAGACAACTGAGTATGTTTAATAAATTTGAAGTCAACAGTGGACTTAAATATCTGTAGACACTCAAGTTTTATGCATATGGAAACCTGCTCACAATTGAGGAGCTGGTAGCTAGGATTTAGTTCAGATTTCTTACATTAAAGGGACACTATAGTCACCAGAACAACTACAGCTTATTGAATTTGTTCTGGTGAGTAGAATCATTACCTTCAGGCTTTTTGCTGTAAACACTGTCTTTTCAGAGAAAATGCAGTGTTTACATTACAGCCTAGTGATAACTTCACTGGCCACTCCTCAGATGGCTGTTAGAGATCCTTCCTGGATCATGGCTGCCTAAAATGCATCCAAATATTCAGTGTCTCCTCTCTCTGCATGCAGACACTGAACTTTCCTCATAGAGATTCATTGATTCAATTCATCTCTATGAGGAGATGCTGATTGGCCAGGGCTGTGTTTGAATCATGCTGGCTCCGCCCCTGATCTGCGTCCTTGTCAGTCTCAGCCAATCCAATAGGGAAGCATTGTGATTGGATCAGGCCACCACTGCTGATGATGTTAGAGGTCAGAGGAAGTTCACAGGCAGAGGCAGCAGCTTCAGACTTGAATACAAGTTAGATTTTACTATCTTTGGGGTGGCAAAGGGAGGCAAGGGGCTAAAGGGTCAGGAATACATGTTTGTGTTCCTGACCCTGTAGTGCACCTTTAAGTTACTGTTGGCAATTATAAATTTCACAAAAAGCAGAAAGAACTAGATAGCAATGCTCACACGGCATCTACAATAATATGGAACTGAAGTTCAAAAGATTTTTACTCCATTTGTCCCAATCCTGGGGTAACAAGTAGAGTCTTTCAAAAGGGCAGCATTAGCTCATTATTAAACACATTTTCAGTAGCACTAGTCCATTGCATGGCATTTGTACCAGGCGCTGCCCACTTCAATCTTGATCTCATACCTTCCAATACAGACACAACTTGACTTCATAATAACTAAGTGAGTTTGGAGACCCTGAAACAAATGTTGTAAGCCTGTACTGAAAATCCTGTGTTCTTCATACTAAACAGTAGTTCATGGGTTGAATCTCCACACATGTTTCACGATACCTGTCCCTCACGGCAGCGTGCGATCATGGAAGTGATGTCTCTTCTGTTTTACCCACTAAAGCTTCCTGGTGCCTTATTGTGACATCATATAGGACATGGAACCTTTCCATTGTTCTCCTTTATAATGTCAGTTTGTAACCAATCACAACCCAGTACAAGGTATATATACTTCATGGTTTGCTTGACCTGTCCTTATTTGCTTGACCTGTCGTGGTTCTTGTTACCTGAGAGTGCATTCACACTGTGTATTGAATTTCCTGTTTTCTGACCTTGGCTTGTTTGACCATTCTTACTGTCTTTTATAGTGACCTTGGCTTGACCATTTAGTCTGTCGATCTCTGTTATCCTAGACATTGACCTACACATTCGGAGGGTGTTGTGGAACCCAGAAATACACCATCAGTGTTATACCTGAAAGCCAGGTTATGTAGTCTTTTTTATGTGAGTTGGTAATTAGCACTTTATCACTGTTGAGTAGATTTTTCACAGATTTACACTATATTTGTTTTTTATCCTTCTTTATATAATCTGAATATACCAATGCAAGCTACAATTGAAAGATTATTAGGTATCTATGTTGTGTTTTATTCACGCTCCACCTGTTATTTAATCTTTACACTTTGTGTTGTGTTTTACACAATTTTTGATATATATTGGGAGGATTGTACTCTGGTGTTTTGTAGCGTTTATTTGTTTTTCAGACCACAATTTATTGGTCTTGCTTTACAAATTTAAGATTCTTGATCAATTCCCTTATTAATTCTCAGCAACTTCCTTTTAGTGAATAA